GCACACCATTACAAGTGTCCAAACGGTATCTCAGGAAAATTCAGCTAGACTTGCCCATTTATCCATCCATCAGTCAACCCACTCACCCACCCACCTATCCATTCATTCGCTCATCCATCCATCCATCTGTGCAATGTGCACTGAGAATCAACTCTTTATCAGGCACCGGGGATCTAATGGAATAAAAAGATAAAGTGCTTCTTATTAGGATTTTTACAGGCTTCCTCCATGCACAAAGGAAAAAGGAGTAAGTAGACAAAGTAATTAAAACAGAGGCATGATGGGGTGCCTGGGTGGCGCAGTCGGTTAAGCGTCCGACTTCAGCCAGGTCACGATCTCGCGGTCCGTGAGTTCGAGCCCCACATCAGGCTCTGGGCTGATGGCTCGGAGCCTGGAGCCTGTTTCCGATTCTGTGTCTCCCTCTCTCCCTGCCCCTCCCCCGTTCATGCTCTGTCTCTCTCTGTCCCAAAAATAAATTTTAAAAAGTTGAAAAAAAAAATTAAAAAAAAAAAAAAAAAACAGAGGCATGATGATAAACAATGGGATATGGTAAAATGCAACAGGAGTAACAAGGTGTCAGCTAAGGTCTCAGGCTTGCATTCAATTAGACATGGGAAGAAAAAGGAGCAGGACCTGATTCTTGAGGAGCTTGTATTTTAGTAAGAGGGAGTCAAGAAAATAAACATGAGAACAAGATTATTATTTCAGATCATGCTGTGTGCCATGAAGAAGGTTAAGATAGAAAAGGGCATGTTTGGGGCAGGAGGTGTTGATACTTTGGCTACTCACCAGAGGCTCCTAAAAGAAGGTGGCATGAGATCTGAGAGCCTCCAGGAGCAGGAGACTGTAGAGGCCAGGTCAGAAATGTGCCTGGGAGCCAGCTCCTTGCCAGAGTGTTTGGGCATTATTCTTAAAACCATGGGAAGCCTCTGGATCTGCCTGAGTAGTCTGAGAAGTGACTCCCTGTGGATATGCAGCAGCCCTAAGGATGCCAAGGGTTCCTTAGTAGTCAAACACCCTTCTAAAGCCAGAACTACCTATACAGGCAGACTTGCAGCTTCCACAGAGGCTCAGATGGTAAATCCTACTCTAATTACACTGGTAATTATGAAGTGACACTTACTGAGCAGCAAAGAGCATTCCTTCTGTTAGGAAATGATCCCTGGGAAGCCAGTCCCAGCCTCTCTAACAGGGAAGGTGCTGTGAATTTACAAACAGCTGATGGAAGGATGTGAGATCCAGTCTAGACAGGCACCATCAGGAGAAATAAGGAGCCCAGGCACTGGGAAGGGACTCGACTGAGCATTCACACTGCCACTCCCTATTCTAGAGGCAGCATCAGAAACAGCAAATACTCCACAGTCAATAAGACCTTGATTTTAATCCTTGTCCTGGCCTCAGTGAGTTGGGTGACCTGGGAAGGTTATTTACTTCTCTGGACAGGAGGTTTTCCACACACAAATGGGTTTAACAACAGCCTTCCTCGTCAGGGTACACCTGCACACAGTAGGTGTCTGAGAAGGGCCAGGCCTTTCTCTTCAGGCTCTCCCACACCCCTTGGTTGGGAGCTCAGGAGGGAGAAGGAAGGAACGGAGAATAAAAGTAAGGCAACAGCCAAACACACAGTTATTATGCTCCCTGGTGATGGTGGAAGGAAGTTAAAGAACCGGTGATAATAAGATTCTTGCCCCGTGTTCCCTGTGACGGCGAATAACACAGACATGAGAACAGAGCATCCATCAGAACTCAGAGACAGACGAAGACAGGTGATCAAAGGAATAAATCCTCTGCAATCTGAAAAACAGACTGCCTGCTTTCATCCATCTGGGAGGTAGCCAAAGGACTCAAACTCTGGCCAAAAGCATACTTTTCTACCCAAACCACCGTAGGTGTGGCAGGTTTCTAGAACAGATCCCCTTGGGGCTAATCAATCTTCTCTAGGTCTGGCCATGTCTGCCAGTGCCTCAACCCCACCCCCCACCCCCACTCTGAGCTAAGCTTTAGAAATATACCACTGCCAGGGAGATTTATCCATTTTAAAAGGTCAGAGAATTACTGCCATTGAAGCTTGTGCACGGAGCAGGTGTAAATATGCCCCAGCTCCCCCCCCCCCATGCTTTATCACCCTCAGGAGAGAGGGACCTGGGGAAGGAGTTGAGGCTCCAGGAAGTTACTTTCCAGGAAGAACGTTTAACTGCTTGGTATCTGGGGAGCCAAGGACTCCGTGTGGGTGGGACCTACCTGTCTATGTCACCTTTCTCACCAGAGAAGCATCTGTCTCCAGCTTCCTCAGCTGCCAGAGAAGCTAGGGATATGGACCTTCCCTTCCTGTTTTGTGGAGCATCCCTCTGCAAGAGAAGAAGGATGAACAACTCCACACAACAGATCCAGACCTCACCCCCATCACTCAAGTATTGACAAGGCAAGGATGCACTGTCAGTTAAAAAAAAAAAAAAAGAAAGAAAAAAAAAACACCACCACGTTGACCATCAAAACCAGATAATCTGTTTTTCCACACACTGGTTAGTAAACCACTAGCAATAAAGAATAAATCACTGCTGCCACAACACGAATTCCCATTTTCTCAGGACCAACAAGAACTTCAGAGCACCCCAAGATGCTCTGGGGGCTACGCGGGTTCAGCAGACACAACGGTAATGAGGTATTTAGAAAACAACAAATCACTGCACACTAGTATGGAAAATGCTGATGCTTGGAGGAGTCTGGAGAAACCGGCAGGCAAAGCAGGAGGAAACCACGGTGTGGAAATGCACAGACCGAGGTTCAAATCCCAGCTCTGCCAGTTACAAGCTGTGGGACTGTGGTCAAGCTACCTCATCTCTCTGGGCTTCTGCCCACCATGGTAGCAAGAGGGATGATGAGACCTAGCCTGCCTAGGTGCCATGGAGGGTGAGGCTGACCCAAATGTTATCAAAGAACTCACAGCTGATGCCCAATGAATCGGTATCAGTTTGTCAAGTTCACTTTGTCAGCACTAAGTTTTATATACATCTATACAAAGAGAGAAAGAAACAGAGAGAATTAAATAACTCAGTCAACCAACCTATCAACAAACTGACTCTATCAAATGACTCAGCAACTGCATAGACCGTCCAAAGTTTAGAGGTCAAGATGCTCAATGGAAAAAGGGTAAATCAGAGACCAGCAAACTCACTGGACAGATTGCCCAGGAATGATACATTTCGTCCCTTGAGGTGAGAGGAACCTGCCTGCCCTCCCCTGTCCTTTCCACCCTTTTTCCCCAGTACTGTGCACAGACTAGAACATGGTAACCAGGGACAACACCCCCAAGTGCAGAACAGCATGGTGGTTGAAAACATGGCCCCTAGAGCAGCCTGCCAGGCTTCAAAGGAGTTTGGCAGTTCTTCAAGAAGTTAAACACAGAATTATTCTATGACCCTGCAATTCTACTCCTAGGTATCCACCCAAAACAATTAAAAACAGGACTTCGAATATTTGTACATGCATGTTCACAGCAGCACTGTGCACAATAAGCCAAAATACTCACCAACAGACGAGTGGATTGACAAATGGAGCATATCTCTATGATGGATTTTTACTCAGCCATCAGAGGAACAAGAAAGAACTGATACATGATGCAACAGGGATGGATGTTGTAAATGTTATGCTCGGTGAAAGAAACCAATCGCTAAAGGCCACATACTGTATGATTCCATTCATATGAAATGTCCAGAACATGCAAATCCGTAGAGACAGAAAGTGGTCGTCGGGGCTGGGGAGGGAAACAGGTGTGACTGCTAACATTGTTCCCTTTTGGGTGATGAAAATGCTTAGGGGCAGCAGTTGACCACACTAGGAATGTCCCAAATGCCACTCAATTGTTCACATAAAAATGGCTATTTTATGTGTATTTTTCCTCAGTAAATTACTTTTAATTATTCAAATTCTTCTACCCATAACTGGCAGCTACCAGCAAGAGCCTGTGGAAGATCTCCAATGGGCAGTGACACCTGCAGGCCGAGAAGGAACAAGGGAGCACGGAGCATGCTCTCATCACCACTCCAATGACAGAGACCATAGATTCAGCCTCCTTGAGCACTGACATCACCTCCAGGCCACTCAAGGGCCAGCCATGCTTCTCCCCAGTTTCCATCACACAAGAAATTTACATGAGTAATAAAAAGCCACTATCTTGATACTAATCTTAGAAAGGAAAAAAAAAATCTTACATTTGTATTAATTTTTCTTCCCGGGTTTTAATTGAAGAGAGGATCCAGTGTCATGAGGGAAATAAAACCTTACTTCATCTATCCAAGGGCCATGTGGCTTCATTAGAAGTTACATTAGCTCCTCATTAAGCAACAATAATAATGTGGAGTCAGAATCAATGAAAAAAAACGCATTGCTCCAAGGTATAGATCCGTTTGGTTCAATTATATTCTTACATGGCCAAGCTCCAGTGGCTCCGACACTAGTAAAAATGTGTGATGCCAGAAGATGTGGCTTCCCTCCTCCGCCTTGAAAGCTGAACAACGAAACAGAGGCAGGGGCATGGCTTCCATCCCCCTACCACTCTCATCGTCTCTAATATGAGACCCTCTAACCACTTACCCACCCGCACCCTGGCAAAACCGGCTTCATTTCTAGAGCTCGTTCATCCACTGTGCCAAGTAGGCTCAATGTCACCAGCCTACCTTGATCCACTGGCAGAGACTGCTCTGCATGAGGGTTGAATTGTGCTGTGGTTGATTATAGATGTCTGCTTCAGGCACAGGACTGGAGTGCTGTGCCTGATGGCACATATGTACCTGTTAGGCTTAGGAGCCCCTCCAACTGAGAAGGGAGCTTGAGGAAACTCTTGGTTACTCACCCTGGCAATTCCCGCTCCTCTCCTTAGCCACACCCCTACATGGCTGGGCTGGGTTTTTCACAGTTACAGAGTTCATGAAACTTTTTACCTCCTTCTTTTTCACCCGACTTAAACAAAAAACTTAAGTCAGGTCCAAAAGAGTACTTACCTGACCCTCGACCAGGCTGTATGGCAGGGACAGTAGATCCTGCATTAAAAAAAAAAAAATACAAAGACAAGAAATTCTGAGTTTCACATTGCAACAATTGCTTTTCCTATGTTTTTCTCTTAGACAAAGTAATTACATCCCTTGTAAAGAAATATTCGATTTATTCAATCCAAAAATGCCCATGGAGCACCTAACACATGCCTGGTGCTTTGTAGTCTCTGTTTATAACAATAAACAACATGGCAAATTCCTGCCATGGGGTGGGAGGAAGAAGAGGGAAAACACAGCAAATGTGGAAGGTAATACATAATAGATGGAAATAATACCAGACAGTCATAAGTCGAATGGTGATACAATGGGTTATGGGGTGCAGAGTGGGGAGTGCTACTGTAGACTGGGGGTAGGGGTGGGGGTTGTTCAGAGTGAATGACAAGAAGGAACAGACATATCTGGACTAGGTATTTTAAATGCAGGGACAGCAGGTACTAAGGCCCAGGGCAGGCACAAAGCAGCAAGGCTAAAATGGCTCAGAGTAGTCAGACATCAGACAGGGACCAGATCACATATGGCCTTTAAGGCTGATGTACAAATTTGGATGTTTTTCTAAGTAAGTTAGGAAGCCACAGGAAGATCTTCTGTATCTTTTCACAGCACCAAAAGCTCTATCCTACTCAGCTCAATAGCCCCAGGCAGCCCCACTGGAGCAGACTGATCTGCGCACATGCTTACCGCCTCCTCAGAGGGCTGACCCAGCTGCCAGCATAGGAAGGGCCCTGGCTGGGTCGAAGGGGCAAAGGTGAGTTGCAGAGATACTTTCTGAAATGCCAGTCTCAGGGCCAGCCTGCACGGAAGCCCCAGACATCACCCTCCAGTCCAAAATGGTTTCCCAACCAAAGTGGAGAGAGGGCAATACAAGCTTCCCTTTTTCCTGAGGCTTAGATGGAGCCCTTCACCATGTGCCTGTGGACTCTGCCAACACCTCAGAAGGAAGACAGCAAGACAAGAAAATCCATCGCCCAGCCTGTTCCCAGCTGAGGATGACCCCCTGGGCAGTGGCTGGTCCCAAGCAGGGTTCGGGGCCCAACGAGCTTAACCAACCAGCACCCAAATGACAATTAGATACTGCTCTGCTTTGCTGCCCAAGAACTCAGGCCCAGCTGACCTGATCACCTGGAGAAGCAAACACCCAACCCTTCCCTCCCACCAGTACCCCTTGCTGCATTTAAGGTTCATCATGCTACATTCGCAGGGTGGTCATGTAGATTAAATGAGACACCACTTGACCGGTTCATTGACAGGCCTTTACACTCAGTAAAGGCCTGAGTGTTAAGAGTTGTTGTTAGCAAGTTTATTAACATTGTTGGTCAAGCCCAGGCCCAAGACACTGACAATGAACACAGACTAGGACCAGTCAGCACAGTCCATTTACGTAAAGAGAGATGCTCAGGGGTATGATTCTGAGCTAGAGTCACAATTTGGAAGGAGGTCATCTGTAGAGTGGATGCTGGATAATTACCTGAAGGATGAGCTGCTTCTCTGACTATCTCCAAAGGTGAAGCACCCAGGAATGCCTGGGGCTTTTCCCTCCTGTTTGCAAGGTGTAAAACCAGAGGGCTTGAACTGTCTGCCACTTAAGCTACGCTGCCCACTCAGGTGGGTCTCTGGCCTCATGTTTACAAGGGAGGTACACCTGGAGAGGATGTGTAAGGTAAAGCCTGGGGTCTGTATATGTGGGTTAGACAAATACAGACCTTTCCCCTGGGGTCTTAGTACCAAGCGCTGGGCCTCCCCAGCCTTTCCTCCATCCATTATCCCTCCCCTTCCTTACCTACAAACTCTTCTTCAAACCAGGACCCAGAAACGTATCTAAAGCTTGCCTGCCCTTCCTTTCCTGGTTCCCTTATGCCCTTTACAAACAATCAAGCTCTGTTCTCTTTGCTTCTCTCCATGCATCCTCCGGGACTGTGCTCAACATGGGAGACACAGTGGGAAGCACAAAAGGACAGGCCCCCAGTGGCACTTATCTGTGGGAGGAATAGACAGAAATCAGGGGATCACGAAATACAAGTGAGGCCACAGCTCTCAAGAGGAGTGTGTGGGTCTCCTTGCCACTGTCTCATTTGCTCCGCAGTTCCTGTGGCTCCTGCCCATCTGGTCTGCCATGGTACAACCAACCAGAGCTCCTTCTGCCTTCTCAACTTGGCAGGAGCCCCCAGCAGTGACTCTCCACTCCCTTCTTAAAGCACTGTCTTGCCCCCTTTTCTGACTTCCTTTCCTCAAGTGCTTCTTCTCTGGGTTCCATTTTCTGTGCCTGTTCCAAGAACACCAGCATCCTCTGCGCATATCTTACTTGCCCTCCCTTGGGGCTATTTACTGAACCCCTTGGGACCTCATTTCCCACCTCCTCTAGGACCCCTGAGTGTCTGCATCTAGTCCTGACCTCCCCTTGCCCCCAAGCTGACTGTCCTCCATTTCCCAGAACCACTGACATTTTAATTCCATGGGGCCCAAGCCAAGCTCTCCTCTAGCCACCAGCTGCACCTCCTCCAGCTCAGGGCCTGGGGGCCTGCCCTCGCTCACCCCCACACTCCTCGGGCTGGTCCACTGCAGCTGTGTCTCTCACACTGCACTCTTCTTGTCCCTGATCTGGTTACTACATAATAAGAGACTCTTCAAAGACACATCTCTGTGCTGCTGAGAACAATTTGGCTCAAAGGAAGGGGACCACCAGGAAAATTTGGTCAAAACAAATATTCCGTGGCAGTTTTTCAGGGTGTTGGTCATCGTGGTGTGCCATGAAGTGGTTTCATACACTTTTCATACATCTTTAACCACTTGGATCCATTTTCGTCTTGTATTAAGAGTTTCATTTTATTTTGTTTGAGAAATCAAAGCCCACTATTGCCAAGCTCGACTGTAACTAATGGCAGATACAGCATTCATCTAGATGAGCTTCATGTAACAGTCCCTTGAAAAGCAATGTATGTGCTTTATGTCAATGTGCTGCCCTGTGAAAATCCATTTTGCAGTATGTGTGATCCTGGAAAGCTAAGGTGTCAACTGAATTTATATAAATCAAAATCATTATTTTCCCCACCACTCTTTTCTGAATTATAAATGAAGAAGTCCCTATCATTCTCCAGTCACCCCTAAGAATCATGGATGCAATTTTGACGGATTTTCTTTCAGCCTTTTCTTAAGCATGTACAAACATACTTGCCTATATATGCATATATACAGCCACACAAATATGCTTTACAAAGTGGATGAGAACTGTAGACATTGAGGCCCCTGTATACTTGCTTGTGCTTTTTATAATCTTAATGATAGAGGGTATCTTTTCCAGATTGTTCATGTATAGTTGGGTTTCTCAATTCCAGCACCGTAGAAAATTTGGACTGGATAACTCTTTGTTGCAGGGAGGGACCCTGGGTTCCTTGAGGGACCTTTGAGATGTGTAAAGAACCCATGAGGTGGGGCCATCTTTTTTAACAACTGCGCACAATTCCATACTATGGGTGCACCATAACTTAACTGTCCCCCCTACTCAACGACATTCAAAATCTTTTTTTTTTTTTAATTTTTACTTGTTTTTAAGAGAGAGACAGAGGCAGAGAACAATCAGGGGAGGGTCAGACAGAGATGGAGACAAGGAATCCGAAGCAGGCTCCAGGCTCTGAGCTGTCAGCACAGAGCCTGACACGGGGCTCGAACCCACAAACCACAAGATCATGACCTCAGCCAAAGTTGGACGTTTAACCTGAATGACCCACCCAGGCATGCCTCAAAATTTATTTTAAATTCATTACAGGGAACTGATGGTTAAAAAAAAATCACTATGTATCATGAGTCATTTTAGTCTATCCTTTTCCTAAAATTTCCATTACTGTCTATCTAGTTTGTTTAAAACAGACAGGTCCTCTATGCAGATTAGGCAGCTCTTTGTTCATGTGATGCGTCATGGGTACAACTCCACCTGTGTCAGGGAGAGAAGGGTGATCTTCAGTGCCATAATGGCATCGGCAGGTGGCACTCTCATGCACTGTGGGCAGGAGCAGCGATTGCTACTACCTGTCTGGCAGGCAATCAGGCAAAACAGATCAAGAGCCATCACCCTGTCTAACAATCTATTTCTTGTTCAGTAAAATTAAGTGGATAGCTCCAGTCTGTCCCTTCCCTTCTCTTTAGGCTGGATGAACTCACTGAAGCTAGATGGCTCTCAAAGATAAATGCCTGGTCCTTCTCAGAAAGACAATTAATGAGCTCAGAGACTGCTTAAACCAAGATGAAATGTGAGATTAACAGACACAGGGACATCTATCCACCCTGCCAACAGGCTATCTCTTCCTTGCTGGGCTGTTTCATTAGATTCCGCCAAGGCAACCCACCAAATGCACCATGGCTATCGGGGCTATTTTTGAGATAATTGCGAGGCTTGGGCTTGGATCCACTTAAAGGCAGAAATATGGGACAGAGAAGGATTAAGGCAAACCTTACCCCTTTCTCCTCTGTCGAAAAGGTCCCAACAGGCTTTAAAGGGAAGAGAAAAACGCATGAAACTTTCATCAGAGCCTGGTTGGTTTGCTGCAGGAGCTGTGGGGCCTGAAGTTCCAATTCTGAACAGTTCCCAGTACAATAATTAGGCACCTTTCCTCCCTGCAGGCCTGCTCATCTCCTCACCTACTCCCTCCCACCTCTACTCTCTATGTCTGGGAGAAGAGCTGCCTTTAGGGGACAGGGGGGCAGGGGAGACAGGAAGAGAACGAAAAAGGGAGAAGAGAGGCAGACAACAGTTAAGGACTATGTCCTAACTGCACTCTGGAATTACCAGACCACTGCACTCTTTGGATGCTCAGACGTTACTCCCCTATACATCACTCTTAAAAACCGAACCCAACCTCTGTTCGCATACATAATCTTGAAGGCAGGTAGACCACGACAGGGTTAAGTCCCATCTAGGCCAGCTGTCCCTTTTCCCTTCCAGCCTACAAGCTCCTAGAAGGCATACCAAGAATGTGAAACTTCAGGGGCCCCTCAGA